ATTGGAAAATGGCTGGGATGTAGGTGTATCTCACAGGGCTACATTGTCGTCACTTTGGAAGGCAATTCACAATATTCTTCCTCTTTTCCACAACTTTGCAAGGTATGATGTGTGTTCCGGGGACTATTTGGTTTTTGGGAAGATACTTGGCTCGGTAATAGTTCTCCCAAATACCTTTTTCTTTCTCTATTTTCCATCTCTTTGCTTAAAAAGACTTCAGTGTCCAGTTTCATTGCCCCCCCCCTCTTTACTTCCCTTGAGCCTTAATTGGAACTTTCATTGTCATAGAGGGTTAAGGGATAGTGAATCTGAGGATGTCATAGAGGGTTATATCTTCTTGATAATGTTTGTTTGGACCCTTCTAAAATGATGGTCAAGTGTGGGTTCTTCACCCCAAGGGTATTTTTCTTGTGCTTCTTTCTTCTATTCTTTGTGCTCATCACCCTCTCCCCAAAATTTTCACTCTAATGAAGTTTGGAGTAAACCAGTGCCCCCAAAAGTAGGTGCCTTTTGATGGGAAATGTATTTAGGGAGGATTAACACTTTGGATAATCTGCAGAAAAGAAGGCTATCTCTTTGTTTATCCCCTAGCTGGTGTGTTCTCTGCAAATCCAATGGTGGAATTTGCTAGCGTAGGTTAAGGGTCTCTTTAATCCTTCTTTTTGTGATATTCATCACAAAAGGGGAAGGACCATGTGGAGAAGCTTCCAGGAAGCATTGATTTGGACAATTTCGGAGGAGAGGAATGCAAGAATTTTTCTAGAGGAGAGAAGCAAAGAGGTAGTGGAAGAGTGTGTCTTGACTTGGGCCATTATTTGGTTGAAAACTTTGGATAGCTTTTCATCCTTTTCCTTTGATGATGTTTGGAGGAACTAGCTTGTGTTGAAAAGGAGATATTCCAGGAATGAATTAGTATCCTTAGAGTGGTTACCCCCTTCATAAGATTTTGTAAAATTGAATTTTGATGGAAGCAGCCAGGGCAATCCAAGCCCTTCTGGAGTGGGGGAGTCTTGAGAAATAAGGAAGGACATGCTATAGCATTTTTCTCAGGCCCGATAGGGATGGAAGACTCTATTAGAGCTGAGCTGCTTGCAGTTCTACAAGGAATTGAAACTGCAAGTGAGTTAAATTTGGAGAAGTTGGTAATTGAAGGGGATTCTAAGGTGGTGGTGAGGTGGTTAAAGGAACTAGAAGAAGTAATTTGGGGCTTCGACAATGAGATGTAATTTAAATGGCAGAAGGAACATGATATTGAGAAACCAATGGGTGAGGAGGACAACCAAAACTTTTGCTAATACTCTAGCTAAGCAATTACTATGGCATAATTATATTGGGTGCAACTGTAACCGTTTTTGTTTCTTTTACTGAGTGAGAGAGGCCACACCTTGTGTCTCTCTTTGGGAAGCTTGTACTAATTATATCTGTATTGTTTTCATTGCACCTTTTCTCGTTAATAAAAGGTGTAAAACAAAGGTGTAAAATGCATAAAAATATACAAAAAAAAATAACTAAAAAAAGTAATCTTATAGAAATGTGCCTTTATAAAGCGACCACACCTGGGTTCAAGCAAAGAACATGTCTTAAATGTGCCTTGGCTATGCACCTCTTAAAACACTACCTAGACAGTCCATATATGCTTGTGAAGTTGAAAAATGTGGCTAATGAATTTGGGAGCTTATTTTCGGTTTGTGTGACTTGTGGTGAATGATTACCAAAGCCCTAGAGTGATTCTAGAAACCCTAAGAGTGATTCCCAAGCCTACATCATATGGTCAGTATACATATACATATGTGAAAATAAATAAAAAAGAAAATTTATCCAAGAGGAAATAGAAGACTACAGAGGAGGTGATAAGAAATCACCCAAATCTAAAAAGAAGAAACCAAAACAAAACAAACTGAAATCACCCCCTCCCAATAAAGCATTGAAAAAACACCAAAAAGAAACAACCACCCACCCTAATCAAAATTCAAAGCCCAAAAATCCTTGCTACTTGACCCTCTAATAACACTTTACCAATTAATCACCCACCCCACAAAAACCAACATCCTCCTGCAAAAGACCCCAAAACCCCTCTTACGCTACCAAAGAACCTGTTATCCATATACTCCAGAAGCTTGCAAAGAAACCTCTTTGCTTTCCTGAATGATCTTCTTTGATTTCTTCATCTTCTTGAATGGACCCATTCCAAATAAACCCCCCTTCAGCCTAATGAAAACCTTTGATACCTGAACTGCTATTTGATTTTTCTGACTTTCTGAATCTTCTGACTGGGTTAGGTATCCTCTCCGAACCTTGTAAGTCATTTGGCTTAGCATTTATCCTTTCTAATTCCAGTACCTCGTTTTTCTCAAACAGCTTATCTTCCAGACCCAAAATTTTACTTACCTCCATTTCTGTGTTCACCACCAAATCAATAGATCTTTCACTTTCATGTGTTTCATCAATGATAATATCTCCCTCAGAAAATTCATTTGCACTGTCGTATTGCTACCAAAAACCTATTATTCCTTTTTTTCTGTGGGGTGGGGTGGGGGAGGGGAGACTTATGTACATTGGATTTTCTTTTGTTGGATCTTGGGGCTAATTACTTTAGCACTTGAGATGTTTGATGTGGTATCTAATTATAGTAGAATTTTACCCTTTTCTAGATATAGAGTAAATTCTTATTTATGTCAATAATAAGTTCTGGGTATTGGGAGCAACTATCCAGTTACTGCTAATAAAATCAACAATATGAGGAATCTTATTTATGACAGAAAGAATCAAGAAATAATGTGGAAAGTCAGCTCTCAAAAGAGATTCATCCAACTAAAATGGAACATATATTGACAGTGTACGGAGAATATACCAAGGAGATGTCTATTTTTAAAAGTTTTGAAGTATTCGAATGGGACTTATGTGGCTACAGAACAGGTATCAGCATGGGTGTTGCAAAGAGATTTCTGCCTTCAGAATTTCATAACAACCTCACAGAGTGCTAGCCTAATAGGGATAACATGGATTTTTTTTCTGAGAAAAGGTAAAGAATACCCTACTAGTTTCTTGAAACATGCTTACTCCATGATGGCAAGAGATAGAACCAGTAGAAAAAACATATAGACTATTCTCCACAGCAAAATTTGTTGGTCTGAATGCAGGTGACATTGAGTTCACAAAAATGAACAATGTGGATCAAAGCCTCCATTATTCATGAAATCTCTTATAGGCAAACCAAGCAGTCTTCAGAGTATATGGAATGAACAGTCAGGAACTCAGGATCTGCTGGTTACCTATTGGCAAGATACATTGCTGGATCCCCAATAGAAATGCACTTTCAAGCATGTAAATGCAGATCCTGTATTGTATTCATGTGGCAGTTTCTATTTACACGATTGAAGGTGTGTTCCTATTGGAGATCCAGCAATGGATCCCACTCATAGGAAGCCAGCAAATCAGTGTGGAAAGAAAGGATCAACAGACTTTTTGACAACAAAAATCATGAGGTTAACAGTATAATAATTGATCTAATAGCAGTTAGAAACTTAGAATAGACAACTGAGTGTCAACTTTTGGAGAAATTCCAGGGTGTATGCATGCAATCTTTACCAAGAAGATGGAAGATGATGGCTGGTTTTGCACAAAAAGGAAGTGACCATAAATGTTGCATTGGCCTTTGGTGTCATCAAATTCAGCTTCAATTGCTCCTCCATAGGCAACCCAAGACCCTCTGGAATAGGCAGTGTCTTTGGAAATCATGAGGTAGCATCATCTTGAGATTCTTGGGTCCTCTGGGAGAAGGAACCTATCTTGGAGCTGAACCACTTTCCTTTCCTACCAGGCTTAAAGTTGGACTATTTTTCAGGCTGGAGCAGGCTGATGATTGAAGGTGATTACGAAGTGCTAATAAAGTGGACGTCTTCTTTCATGAAGAGTACTTGGTCCTTCACATTTATCCTTAGACTTTAGGAGGCAAGGGCCATAGCTTCCCTCTCTAAAAAGTAACAACTCTTTCAGGTGTATCAGAGGATTGGATAATACCCTAGCTGAGATGACAGTCTAACTAGAGGAGTTGGAGGAGAGGTCCTTGAGTTGGGGGCCCAGGCCCAGGCCCAGGCCCAGGGAAAGTAACAGGGATAAGGGCTTCTTATTGTGTATTTATTCATTGTCATTTATTGTCGTTTTCTACTATTCCTGTTGTTAGACTTTCTTAATAGTAGAGGTATCTTTCTCATGATTGTTAGTAAAGCTCCTTCAGTCTTTTGATTGTTTCTTATTCTTACTGATTAAAAAAAACACATGTTTCATTTATCAAAACACACACACACACACACATGTTTCTTCTAAAGTTATGATTGAAGAAAATGTCACATCTAACACCACCAAAGTAAATCCATAATTATATCCTTTTCGTATCATTTGTTGATAAACCCATAGGTATCAATTTCCTTGTCCACCCAATGCATCATTTCTTTCCCATCAAAAGCTGAAGTGGAAAAAGAACAGTGTTGCACGAGGAAGCAAACAACTGAACCAATAAATAGTTATTTTTGACAGAACCAAATTTCCTATATTTGTTTCACAGGCTTATTCACATAGCCTGTGAAAGCTAGCTTCTCAATCAACATATATTGTTTGCATTATTTATTAATCAAGAAATTAGGAAGAACAAATAAATTAAAAATTAGAACCACAGAAATATTTCCACAATCAACACTCTCCAGCGTACTATTATGAAGCAAGTTCCATTAGCACCATTAAGGTATCGTTAAATCCAGTCAAGGATTTACTAGCAAAGTCAGCTAAAACTTGTACTCAGTTGGTATTAAATTGAACCAGAACTGTCAATTTGTTCATAGAGCGATGGTACCACACACCAAGTTCGTATTTAATCACGCAAATGTGCAGTCGGGAAAATCCACACAGGTTAATTATATTTCACTGGGGAAGACGTCAGAACCCCAAAAAAGAGGAAATTTTTTACACCAGTAACCCGACAGTGGGATAAAGGAATCACTTACAGGTCTTTTAACGACAGCCCCTAGAGTACTAGATTTCTGAGGAGCTCCAACCGATGGAGAATACCGATTGAAAGCCCCTTTCCATGTCGGACTCCAAGACAGACTGGAGCACTGTTCTCGCTCTTCTGCTTCCTTTCTGGCCCGATTCCCGTCGTCCTTGCTAGTACTGGCCTCATCCATGACCCGATTGATCAATCTCCAAACATTGACAAATTCATCAATCACAAGACCTCCATGGATCGAAAACTTCACAATCATCCATTAAATTAAAGCATACACACCTGCCGCCCCTCACCCTCCAACACTTATCAACCAAGAATTCCCCAGAAGACTCCAATCCCATCTTTGTTCAATAAACCCCCGAAAACCAAACAACCGAGGAACGACCGCCAACATGCAAGACAGAATTCAAACAATCTAATCTGATAAAACCACGAACCCAAATAACTGAAGGACAACAATCTGGTACAAGTATCAAAATCGGATAATTTTCAGATCACTGGGCGGCAAACAATGACCGAATCACAGAATGAAATAAGCACGTGATGCAAAGGGAAGGAGATTGAAGACAATTGACGATGGAGGAAATTGGAGCGACAACTGTTGAAAATCATCCGCCTCCGACTCCTCCGAGAGAATTTTGGCTTTGGGCAGCAGCTGGCATGTGAAAGCTCGCCTCCCACCAATTTATACTCCCTACCCAAACTCAACCATGGTTAATCCAAAGCCCGATCTTGGATAGAATTTGGCAATTCGCCTCGTCTGCTAAATCTGGATGGATTTGGAAATACAGCTCCAGCCCAGTAGTCTACACGACCCAGGACCAGGAGTCGTTTACGTGGCACCAGGCTAAAGCGGATATCAATGTCTATCTATTTTCACTTTTCAGGAGAGGTAGAGTTTCATGACTTGCCACGTGGCAAGAATAAAATCCCTCTCTGATACATGTTTGTGTTTCTTAGAAGAGGACGTAATAAATGGATTCACGTGGGTTAAAAGAGGTCGAAGGATCTCGAATATGAAAATCCCTGTCTCCCGATGGGTAGCTCGTCCTCACCCATTTTTCTACCTAGGTGAGAAACTGAGAACCCTAGCGAGCAGTAGTGACTCTTCAAACTTTTCTGACAGGTTTCAGAATTGAATCCCATGCATGAAGACAGGGCGCTTTTGGCCGTTGGATTGTCAAATGAAATCTGTTCCGATCTATCGATAGAAAAACATTTTATCATGTGAAGGACGAGAGTTAAATAAAAACTTTGGAGCTTGGAACCTTAAAAAATAAAAAAAATAAAATAACTTCGGAGCTTGGAAGTGGATTTGATTCCTTTCTTTGCGCTGAACTATTGAAAATTCCTCTCGATCGTAAATACAGAGAACAGATATAAAAGCGTTCACAGTGATTCTTTCCATTATTAGTTTTTATTAGAATAAGGTTCTAATGTTCAAAATTTGGACAGTCTTGGGCGTATTCTATTATATCAACAGGTACCCAAAACCCTAAATAAGGAATAACAGGTCTAAATTCTGCTTATTAAAGCAATTTAAAAAAATAAATCAATTAAAAAGTTATTAAGTATCCAAACACCAATGCATGTCATTCCAGCAAATAGATTGAGAGTATCACCATGTAAAGTGTGCGAGTGGTATCTGAGCTGGCCAAGGATGCCAAATGGCGGGTTTTGTGACCGTCTCCTTTACCATGTCAGCATTGTTGTCCGGAACCGTGTGATGTAAGAACACAATTAGAATGAGTGTTTTCACACAAATAAGAAAACAGATTCTATCGAGGAAAGGAAAACCCTCCAAAGACCTCAACGGATAACTTCATCCTGACAATCCTGAAGCCCAATCCAATCGGGACACGAATGATTGGTTATAAATAGACATTCTCCACTCGATGTAAAGGACTTTTGACTTTTCACTCATTCAACACTCTTTCCTGTTACTTCCTTGGTTTGGACTAGCATTCTTTCCTTTTACTCGTCTCGATCGACCCTATTCTCTTACTGACTTGAGCATTAGAGTATTTACTGGGAGAATAATTCCTCAGCCTCTAACACCTTCTATAATTGCAAATCTTTTTGGTGTAAATTCTGTTCTTCCACCTCGATTTCATCCAATTGACAAGACTATCTAACTACGTCATTAGTGCAGACCAATTACCTGAGCAAGTTATTTTACTTTTTGACAAGACAACATAAGCAAGTTATTTTACTTTTTGAACAATTACCTGAGCAATACAAGTAAAGTGCGACATATACTTTCTAAAAAACAAAGAAATCGAAGATTCTTTCCCCTCCGCATCCACCTGACTTTTAGCAAAAGAAATAGCTTCAACAAGAGCTCCTACTAACCATCTGAATCCCTTATAAGCTGACCACCTGCAGCCATAACAACATTTTTTGAGTTATCATAAACATAAAAAAAGACCTAATTTATCACTCATCAGATGGGTGACATATATAGTTGGTGTTCATGTCAATACCCTCTCAATTAAGTGAACTTTTCCCAAATCTTTATTAAAAATTATCTTTATTTTTATTATATGTGCCAATATACTTGCTTTGGCTCTTCATGTCCAGGCTACCTTGAAAAAAAATATATACTTGATTTATTTTTTTCTCTTTACCACTTTTTTTTTATCTCTTTTCCTTTCCCCTCTTGCAATGTAATTGTCACTTGTAGCGCATTGCAAAAAGAATTGGTTTCTCTGCCATATATAGCAAAGTGCCAAGGTCTATATTTATGTAAGACTGTCAATGGACCGGGGTTTTGGTCCAATTCTAGTGAACCAGTATTAAGCCAAATTCAATCTGATATGCTTATGGAATCATAAAAACATTTTTTTAGAAAGCTCAACTTGAAACGACTGAACAAAGAACAGCTCAATTTTCCATATTTTCACTGATTTCCTTCTTTAAATTTGCAAAATCGAATAAACAATTACTAGAAAGTCCAGATCTGATAGTAACAAAACAGCTCTAGGCACATCAAAGTTTTGGGCCACCTGTCCTGAATACATGAGAAAATGTATTTGTATACATTGTCTTTTCGAAATTCATGTGTTTATTAAGGACAGGTGGTATATAAATGTGATGTACCTAGCATTGTCTTGTTGTTAGCAAATGCTGACACCTCCCCAATAGACATATTGCTGTTGACCTGTTGTTATTGATTATTCTGCTGCTAGTCTTGTGGACAAAGGTGTGGAGACAAAGTGGTGATGGCCTTCCAAATTTTTTAAGCTCTTACATAATGTGGAGCACATAATGTGCGTGTGCATGCGTGCCTGTTTGTGTACGTTTTCAATGCTATTTATTGATCCATCTCCACCTAAAATAAAGAGTAAACTTTGTTTGTGATATATATAGTTTAGCCTTGGGGCTAAAAATCACGGCCTTTGAAGTTTGAATGTATTGTTGTGACCTAAGGCTGTAAGTTGGGCCGGGTTAGGTTGGGTTGAGGCGTAAACCCTAACCCTAATCCTAACCCAATCCGATTTTCAACACGACTAACCCAACCCAATCCAAAGTCAATTTTGGGTTGGGTTGGGCTCGGGTTGGGCCCAACCCAACCTTCTTCCCATCCTTTAAAACCTCATAGAATTTCTCAATTTTACATCTTAACTCAACTTTCACTACATATATTAATCCTATGTTTCATTAGTATTTGTTTGTTGATGTTTTTTTTTTTTTTTTGTTTTTTTAGTACAAAATTCAGAAAAACAAGTATTAGAAATGGCTATAGTTTATTATGAGTTATGACTTACGATAGATCTTTCTTGGGCAACAAACAACATAGAGGAGATGAAGATAAAATTTTCAAAAAACATAAAATAATGTTATTAAGGTTTTAGTCTTTCTGATTAAGATTAAGTGAAGTGATTATCTTAAAAGAAATACATGATACTATGTGGTGGGGGATATATAAATATCATCCATCTAAACAAATAAATGTATGTTATATATTACATATAACATATAACATATATTTATATATGACATGTACTATAGAGTCGGGTTCGGGTTGGCTAAGGGGTCAATCCTAACCCAATCCGAAGTAAAGTCAGGTTCATGAATTTCAACCCGAACATCAACCCAACCCAACTTTTTCAGGTTGGGTTCGGACCAACCCGGCCCAAGTTGCAGCCTTATTGTGACCCTATATATATTTAGGGTTCAAAATATTGATAAAATACACCTTATATTTTATATTGTATTTGATGGTTACCGAAATGGCATATAATAGGAGTTTGGGACATTGAATGGTTGAAATAACTCGAATTTCAAATYATTCACTTGCTTCAACTACTCATGCTATGGATGTGGGAGCATCAACTCTGTCCCTGTGGGCTTTTGAGGAGCGGAAGAAATTGTTGGAATTCCATGGAAGAGTCCCAGGAGCCAAGATGCATGCCAGTTTCATATGACCAGGTGGAGTGGCACAAGATCTGCCTCTTGGCTTATGTCGAGATATTGATGTTAAGAGTGTGATGTGAGAGGACCAAGGATTAAAGTATCAATATCGGGTATCGTATCGGATAACTCGGATATAGATACAGATACAGATACGCTTTGGAAATGCATGGATACAGATGAAAAACATGAAAACACTTGGATATGCTAGAAAAATGAATATTAATTCCATAAATATATTACTAACAATAGGTTTAATGTCAAAATATCTACAAATAATGTGTAAATACATAAGAATTGTATATTTTGACCATGTATATGAAAAAATATATTACAATTAATATAACATAATGCATAGATATCATACAATTTTATTGATATGCATCAATCAAGATTTTAAGAAACATATTATAAAGATTTTTACAAATTAATACATGTACAAAGCCATTATTATCTTATTTTATATTAAAATCTAAGGCACAAAACATACACAACTATTATATCATTTTTTTTCTATTTTACTACTTATATTCAATCATGTCAGTATTTCCCTCGATTTTGAATGTACATCGATATTTTGAAAGAAAACCTATGTTCTCATTTTCCATCAATGTAATAGAACTTATTTGCTCTCTTCATCACCTCTTGTCTCTGAGGAACTCCATGGCTGAGCATCATCAATGATTACTGAGGAGGGCTGATTTGGCCCTCCAATGACATTATGACACCTAACACCTCATGACAACTAAGTGCAACCTCTTGACAACTAGACAGCTCGAGCTCGCCACTTACAAACAACTCGCCACAGGCAACTCGGTACAGGCAGCTCGCCACCAAGCAGCTCGCCACCAGGTAACTCGCCACTTACGGGCAGCTTGCCTCCTAGTCAGACCGACCACCGCATGACAACCCCGAGGAGCTCACCACCGTACCCCGCATTTTACGGGATTGTGACTTGTAATGGCTATATTAGCTCACCCACTCCCCGAGTCAAGCGGAAGTGGGCAACCTTACTGGTTGGTGGCTTTATCCCACCTAACACGAAACAGGTCCCATCACAGCGGGAATCCAGGAACTGCTCCACTTAATCCACGAGGACTCCAGTATATAAAGACCTCACCCCCAAAGGAAAAAGGAGAGGTGATCCCTGCTCTCTAATATCATTCTCAGCTCGCTACTAAGTGCTGACTTAGCCATCGGAGTGACCTCGCCGGGTAAACACCCTTGGTTTCTCTGATTCAATTCTCGCAGGTCCCTCAGCTCCCACCGTCTACAAAGATGAGCATATCATCTCCCATAGGGAGGATGGGTTCCTCAGTTCCCACCGTCTACGAAGATGAGCAGATCATCTCCCGCAGGGAGGATGGGTTCCCCAGTTCCCGCCGTCTACAAAGATGAGCAGATCATCTCCT